TATATATATATATATAGATATAGATATAAAAGGAGGGATCCGTTTACTCCAAGAATAAGTCTACTTAGATTTATTTCATTCAGTAACTCATATTCTACATCAAATTTCAACGATCCAATTGTGGAAATTAAAGTTCTTAGTGCATAAATTAAGTTTGCAAATTTTTAAAAAATTTGAAAATTATTTGATACTTCATTTCATTAATTCAAATCAATATATAAAATGTTTAGGATTTTGTATTAATGAAATGAAGTATCAAATGGTTTTCAAATTTTTTTAAAATTTGTAGATTTGATCTATACATTAAGAACTTTACATTCAATAATTAGATTATTGAAATTTAATGTAGAACATGAGTTATTAAATGAAATAAGTCTACCTAATAAATGAATCCCTCCTCTCTCTCTCTCTCTCTCTCTCTCTCTCTCTCTCTCTCTCTCTTTCTCTACCCACCTGCATAATTTTCTTCCTACTATAGCATGTTTCAAAAAGATTAATTTAGAGAAAATTATTATTATTTTTAAAAATAAACTAATCTAAATAGTACTACTTTGTTATTTTGTACCAATAATATAGATACTAAAAAATATTACTTTGTTTATAAAATTTTTCCTCTTTTTTATGTATTATTCCACAAAAAATTTAAAAAAAACGTTGAATCTCTATGCCTACCTTTGTTTCCTTTTTTTCATAAAAGGGTAAGACAAAAGGTTGGTTGAATATTTGCCTCCTAGATGCATATCATCTTACAAATTCTTGGTTCAGAAGTTTATTTTTTCAAAATTATTTCTCATGTCTAAAAAAATTCATCTAGGAGAAAACCTGTAGATTCTTCCAAGAAAGAGCAAGAAAACAAAAAATAATTTTGAAATGGGAAAGATGTAAAGACAAAACCATTCTGTGGGTAACACAGTAGGTTCACTTTTGTCGTGAACACCATGCACTTGACCAAGGCTATTGTTGATCATCTTATATCCCTTACTCAAGTTGCAAGATAGCCTAATGTTATAAAAGTGCCACCAAGTAATACGTGGTATGCACAAGTCTTGGGGTCGACTTATCCTTCTTAAATCGATTCATGTAGTATTAAAATAATATTTAATTAACAAAAATTATGTCATATAAGTGTAAATTAGTTTTTAATTGTCAATTTTGAGATAGTGTCTAGATCATGTTTATAAAAATAAAATAAAATGCTTAAAAATTAACTTTGAAGATTGACCTTTCCAAAGTTTTGTCAATATATGATGATAAGTAGGGTTGGAAATGAGTCGAATTGAACCGAGTTTAACTCGATTTGATAACATTTTGCTCAACTCGTAACTCAACTTAAATTCGACTTGAACTTATTTTTATTACTCAAATTTGACTTGGTTCAAGCTCACTAATAATTTGGTTTAACTCGTTAATTTGAATCACATGAATCAAGATTCAATTTTTTTTTAATCTTATACATTTCAAAATTTTAATTTAATAATAGATTTTAGATAAAATAATTGTATTTTTTAAAAGAAAAAATATAGCTTATTCTACTAACATAGCAAGATTACAAGGTACGACTTTGAAGAAACATAATTATAACTAAAGTCTATATAAATTAAAACTATACCTTGCATAAAATAATAAAAAAAATCAATTTATAATCATGAATTTTTAAAATGTTCACTTCTTTTATTATTATTAACATATAACTAAGTTTTAAAAGTTCTTTCAAATTTTAATGAGTTAAAATTAAATAATAAAAATTAATTATATAAATTATATATTTATATATCAGGTCGATTCAAGAACTAAATGAGTCTAATTATACACAATTCAAGTTTAAGTCATTTATATATTGAACTTAATTTTTAACTCAAGTTTAACTTATTTGTTTATAAATCAAGTTCAATAAGTTAATTATCAAATTAAGTTTCTAATTATTTTTGAGTTTATTCGATTCATTATTACTCCTAATGATAAGAACCAAGGAGGATGTGAGAAGAGTTTCTAAAAGGTTTATGTATGATATTATAAAATTTGTTTCCACATTCATGCTTGAAAAAAAGGAAAAAAGAAATAAACTTGTACCCAACTCAAGAACTCTATTTGTGTAGATAATAAGCCAAACTTACTATTGCTACCAGCATCTTCCTTATGCGTAGAGTAGAGTCATGACAAAAAAAATTATAAGGAATTAGGTAAAAGTTATATTTAATACCTAATTTAATATAATTTATTAAATGTCATTTTATTTTTTATTAACTATAAAATTATTGATAAAGTTTTATAGTTAAATAGTTAAGGTATTTCATATAGTTAATATCAAATAAAATTTTAAATTTAAGAAAACTACCTTCATCTATAACAATAAATAAAAGTATTGTCAATATATAGTGTGAATATGGAGCAGGTAATGTTGCAGATTATTCGACCATAAACCCATTTTTATTAAGTGGGTTTTCAGCCTACTTGTTGTGGTTTTTTATTTTTTATTTTTATTTTTTGGATACTCATAGGATTTAGGTAAAATTGTCATCCTAGTTTTACCCTACTTGATTTTAGTGGAGCTTGGTATAAGATTATTTTTTAAGTTTCCTTTTCACTTTAAATTGTTCAAACATGTTCTTTGTTTGTCTATAACTATAAGCATGATAATTAAATTTAAACATATGAATACCCATTCGACCCCAATCCAACTTTAGCTTTGGTCGGGTCAACTTTACCCTTTGTTGTGCCCACATTACATTTTACATACCCCGTGCCTGATTTCTACCAATTGTTTACACTATTATTTTGTCTACTTGGGAGCTCTGGAGCTTTCTATCTAGCCTCATGCCAATATAAATGGACCCTCTTAGATGGAAATTTGGGTTGGTTGAGACTTGAGAGATATCCTTCCACACCTTCTTATTCCTCCAAAAGATACTTGCAAATTCTATTTTTCAATGTTGGAAAGAATTTGCAGTAAGCCAAATATAACATCAACAAAACCTTTTGTACGAGACGTAATTTGACTAGTAATGGGTTGTATGAAATTCCTAATTTTTTAAACCATATTATTGTGGTATGAAGTATGAAGTATTTATACCTCATTGAGAAGGGGAATGTAAATATATATAAGATGAATATTCTCTTTCAAACGTAATTTATTTCGTACTTAAGGTTCAAATATGTACCAACAAATTTTGGGATAAACTTTTAACTTGATTTGTATTTGGACAATAAAAAAAGCGCCACACATATTCTAAATTTTGAGCACAATGAGGACAAAAGGCAAATATATAATCACCCTTAGAGTAGCTCCAACAACAGATTTTATTCTGGCATAAATAGTATATGGATCTCAAAAAGTGAAATTCGCACATTGAAGCAGTAGTTGCTTTATATCCCATTTGGAAAATTAGAGTGCTGAATGAGAATTGCTTCTCTTCAAAACTTGTGGGTCAATGATATGAATATAATATTAAAATATGTTATTAAAATATATTATTATTATGAATAAAAAATCTTCTTTCGTTTTGACTTAAAATATAGACGTTTCTTCACTTTACATATGTTTGTTCCATTTGAAATCCACAAGCAAAAGTTGCTTAAACAATAGTTTCTTTTACCATTATAGTTATTATTCAATCAATTAGATTAGAAAAAATTACCGTTACAGTTTTTATTGACATATTAATAGAACAATAAATTTGATTTGTATAAATTGTAAAATTTTGTTTATATTTTCTCACACAATCATTTTTCAATTGCATTTATTTATTATGTTAAATTTTGTCTACTTGTAACCTTCCTGATGGAGGACCATCCTTGGTACTTCACTTCATGTGAGACCCATCACATGGTTTATGGCTATGGCTAATTTGAGTAGTATAGAATTTATTGCTTTATTCCAATTTTACCCTTGTATTTTGGGGTATTTTAGTCATAGGACTTATTTTTCTTGTATTTCTCATTTTACCCTTGTATTATGGGGTGC